CACAATGCTTGTGAAGCATCCAATGAAAATGAAAATTATGGTGACGTCGACAAAAGACAATGTGCTTATATTAATCTTTTTCTTGTGAACTCATGTAGTTCAAGACTAGTCTAACAATTCCACTCGAGCCTCTCAAATGCTTTGAGGAGATAAAGTTTAATGGCCATAAATTGATTGTTACCTTATCTATGTCTACTAAGATAGTGGAATACTTCCTGAGCAATGACTACATTGTCCATATTAGATCTGGCTGGAACAAATGCTGCTTAGGAGTCAGTAATGCAGGACGACAAGCAAGGCTTAAGTATCGTGGCTAGTATCTAGAAATAGTTTTGTAAAGTATTCTATACAGGCTAATTGGTCTCAAGCTGTTGAGAGAGGTTGGATACAAACATTTTAGAATAAGGGAGATGATGGTGTGGTTCCAGTATTTTAACATTCTCCCAGAGTGAAAGTAACTTTTGATTGCTTCACATATGTCATCCTTGAGAAGTGGCAAAAAATGGTGAAAAAAAGAGTGCCGTCATGCCATCCTCCCCTGGAGCTTTCTTAGGATGCAAATAAAAATAGCTTCAGTGATCTCCTGATCATCCACATCTGCAATTAGGTCATGGTTCTGCTGCTGTGAAATGAACTGGGGGATGTATTGTAGGATTTCATATTTCCAATAGGGCCATCAGAGGCATAAATATTATCATAAAACCTGTACACACATTGTTGAATACTACGCTAGTCCTTAATGAGTTGTCCATTTTCATCAAACAATCGGGTAATAGCATTCATTTTTCTCCTATGTGCAATTAAAGCATGAAGGAATTTTGAATTTTTTTCACCATCTTTGAGCCACAAAATTATGGATTTTTGCTTACAATACACTTTCTCAGAGTTATAGGCCTCATTCAGCTCAACATTCAACATGTTCCAAGAATCCCAATCTCTGTCGTCGTCAGATTGGCTAACCCGCTCTAGAGTTGCAGTAATGGAGTTAATCTTCTTTTGAGCCTCAGTATGGTGAGTTCTACTCCATTGTAAAAAAGCTTTTCTGGTGGCCTTGATCTTTTCCTTCACTCTATGCATTGGTGTTCTGCAACTCCTTCATTGGTCAGCCATCGCTTGTCAAAACAAAATATGCCCTTTCTTTTATGTGAGAGAGAGTCTGAATTGATGAAAAGCATGCAATCATCTAAAGAGCTTCTAAAAATATTCTCCACTGTGGCCTGAGGATGATCAGTATGCCAACCAATTGAGCAAAATGCTCTGTCCAACTTTTTTTCAACAAAGCCTTCATCTACTCTATATTTAGCCCAAGTAATATTATACCCCTTCCAACTGATTTCCAGCATTCTCATATCAGAAATAAAGGTATTAAAAACCTCAAGACTCAGGGATGATATGAGAATTCCTCCCTTCTTCTCCTCACTACTGCACACATCATTCCAGTCTCATACACAAAGCCAAAACTTCCCCCACTTAGCTTGCATATCTTTTAATAATTCCCATTGATGTTGTCTAATGCTTTTGATTGAGTTCATATACACAAAAATAATCCAGGTTGGAGTGGCGTGCTGTACAGAAGAAAACTCCACCTCCATACAGAAATCATGGCATAGAAGATGATGTATAACTATATCTCTCCCCCAATAACAAAAAAGCAAACCATCGGCTGAGCCAACAGGATTAACTACTTTCCATCTTTCCTTATACTTCAAATTTTAGCAAACAGTATTTACAAAATCAACCTGCTTCTTAGTCTCCGAAAGAAAAGTAAAATCTGGGCAGTGGGTCCTTATGGACTCCTTAAGCTGAGGAATTGTAGAGGCTCCACCCAAACCTCTACAATTTCACACCAGCACTCTCATTGGGCACCTGTTGGCTTTTTAAGGTCGGCCAACAAAACCTTATCTGAGTGAGTTTCAATTTCTTACCTGTGAAAAGTTCAATGATTTGAGCTAAATCACCATTAAGTGCTCTGTTCTTTTTATGTGGCTAACTGAGAGAACCATCTGCTGCCTCAGGAGAAGAGTCGTGTAGTCTGTCCCTTTCTTCAACTAGAGAATAAATCCTTACAGTATTTCTGTGACTACATCGATGATATCTCCTAGCCGGATTCGTATCGGTGTAGGAGGTCAAAAT